AAGCCGTGGCCCCAGGTCCCGGGACCCCGCGCCCCTCCGGGGCTGCCCCGAGAGCGGCTCCGGGGGGAGGGGAGCGCGGGCCGCGAGCGCCGGCGGAGCGGGAGAGACGCTTGGCCGCCTTCCCTTCCCCCGCGGGCCCAGGCGTGGGTTGGTGCAGAGAGAGGCGCCCTGCGCTCCACCGCGAGACGCACATATATTTTTAAGAAGGTGGTGTGTGTGTGTGGGGGGGGGGCGCGGGGCGCGGGAGGAACGTTCCCTAACTTGTGTAACGTGGGATGATTTATTTGAGTTGGAACTGACCTCCTCTTGTCTAGTTGTCCTAGAGTTTGGCTTTTTGACAGTAATGAAGAGTGATAGATCGCTCCTGCTCAGCTAAGCAGCTGATGCATTAATTATAAATTGTGGTGTGGCTAATATAAAGTTTGCTCCCGGATGGAGAGGTTAGGGGGTGTGTGTGTGGATGGGGAGGGGGGGATGCTCCAGGCAGGAACCGGACGGAGGCGGAGGAGATGGGGTGTCCCCGGGCCGGGCTCCCAGGAAAGCCAGCACAATGGCTCCGCGCTGCGCCCAGGGGCGGCCATTTTGTCGCCGCTGATCTTTCCCGCTGTCTTTAATCCTCCAGTGGCGCCCCCCGGCTCGGACGCCTCCACCTCCAACCGCGCGCGTGTGTCTCTCGTTGGTCTCCCCTTTCCNGGCGGCGGAGGGCGGCGGGGGCGGCGCGCGGCGCCTGCGGACCGCCTACACCAACACGCAGCTGCTGGAGCTGGAGAAGGAGTTCCACTTCAACAAGTACCTGTGCCGGCCGCGCCGCGTGGAGATCGCCGCGCTGCTCGACCTCACCGAGAGGCAGGTCAAGGTGTGGTTCCAGAACCGCCGGATGAAGCACAAGCGGCAGACGCAGTGCAAGGAGAACCAGCACGGCGGCGAGGGCCGGCCCGAGGGCCTGGCGGACCCGGGCAAGGGCGGGCGCGACGAGGCGGAGAAGGCGCTCCTGGAGCAGGCCCTGGGCGTCTCGGGGGCGCTGCTGGAGCGCGAGGGCTACGCCTTCCAGCAGAACGCGCTCTCCCAGCAGCAGGCGCCCGGCGGGCACAATGGCGACTCCCAGAGCTTCCCCGCGTCGCCTTTAACCGGCAGTGAGAAAAATCTGAAACATTTTCAGCACCAGTCACCCACTGTTCCTAACTGCTTGTCAACAATGGGCCAGAACTGTGGCTCGGGCCTGAACAATGACAGTCCCGAGGCCCTCGAGGTCCCCTCTTTGCAGGACTTTAACGTTTTCTCCACAGATTCCTGCCTGCAGCTTTCAGACGCAGTCTCGCCCAGTTTGCCAGGTTCCCTCGACAGCCCCGTAGATATCTCAGCTGACAGCTTTGACTTTTTTACAGACACACTCACCACAATCGACTTGCAGCATCTGAATTACTAAAAACATTAAAGCAAAACAAAGCATCACAAAACAAAACCACCACCACCACCACCCCCTCCTCTGACCAGGTGGTTCGGCCTTCTTTTATTCTGGGAGTTGGGTTTTATTTTATTTTATTATTATTATTTTTTTTCCTTGACCGACCCTCTTTCTCTTCTCGGTGTTGAAGATTTTCTGTTTGGTGATGCCCCCGACCCACTTTCAGAGGCGCCTTTGACAGGTTATTTTGGAGTTTTAGTTGTTTTAAATCCAATCCAACAACCCTCTGTGTGATTTCCTGAGAGCAATATATGAGGCCTGCAAGAAAGTGATCACATGATTGTATCTTCACTTTCTTTTTATTTTTGTATCACATTAGGATGCATTGTCATGCGTATTTTTGGTAGAATAAATTCTCCTTTGCTATACGTAGCTTTCTTATTTTTTTTTTTTTTCTCTCCCCCTTCTTTCTCACCGCTCCTAACGGTTTCTTTTTCTTCTTTTAGTCTAACTTGGTAAATAAAATTCTGGTCACAATTCATCTTCTTTTTCAATTTTAATATATTTATGAAGGGGGCATGTTCAAAATCTTCACTAGGCAGCAACAAACAAGAAAGCCAGAAAAACGGTTAGGGCATCTGAGAAGTGTTTTTTGTTTTCCTTTTTTTCTTTCTTTTTCTTTTTCTTTTTTTTTTTAGGGGCGTGGATTTGGCTTTTCAGTGTAGGGGTTCCAGCCATAGATTTAAATTGGTAATAGAAACAGAATTGGGAAGCCTCAGAGTTGGGCCAAGCCCCAGCTTTTGAAAGTGGAGAAATAAAGTGCCTTACAGAAACCCCCAACTCCAGGAACATGGACTTTTAACAAGCTACCCATCTCCAGGTCAATAACTAAGTTAACAACAGTTCATTTATTGTACACATTTGTTTCAAACATCTACATGCCAACCCCTCCCCCACAAATCCTGAACATTTTCAAGCAGGGCCGGTTAGTTTCCCAGCTGCTGATGGGTCCAGGCAAACCGACCTAAAAGACAAGAGAAAAACAAAAATGAAATAAAACAAAACAAAACAATGGTCACTAGCTGGAAATTACACTGCAGAAAGGATTCTTTCCAATCCTCTGGTTCAGGCATTCTAGGACTCTTTGTATTTTTTTTTTTCAGGGCCACAAAAATCAATATTTCATTCTTAAATTTGTTTACATGGCAAATAAGGGAGCATTAAAGCTTTGAAGTCAGGTTAGAAAGTTGAGGTTTGAAAATGAAGTGTTTCTGCACCCTAGGTTATAGATTAACCAGTCTAGAAATAGGAGAGAAAGCACTTTAAATGAAATATCAATAAAATGCATTCTAGGGTATGTTACTGGGTTGTTCTGTGGCCTCCCCCATTCTTGTGTCTCCCCATGTTTATTTTTCTATTGCTGAGCTCTGTTCTGGTGGCTACTTACCGTGAGAAAACGCAGCGCGTAAGCAACATGTGTGGGGGCGGGTGGATGGAAGAGCCCGGCTCTTAATGGCACAGGCTCGTAAGTTATGATGAAATCGGGATATTTCTCCAGGGGTTTGCTCCCTGCCTCCCCCCACCCCTTTGCCCCCCAGTCCCGGCAGCGGTGGCGGCGCCGCGAGGCCCCCGCGGGTTCTCGCCCTCGGTGCGCGCGGAGCGGGGCTGCCCAGAGCGGCCAGGGCCCCGGCGCTGCCGTTTGCGCTCCGTCCTACGCTCATAAATCAAACGCTTTCTATGAATGAGAGTGTCATCAAAGAGATCAATTGCAGGAACACATGCACAAATAAAAATCCTCTTACGTATTTGCCGGGATCCCCGTCCGAAAGCATTAAGTTAGAAGGCGTTTAGTCATAATTCATTTTTATTGCTCTTTTAAAACAACAGCTTGGCTGAGCCGCGGATGCCGCGAACAGCTCGCGGCCTCGGCGTTGTGTCTGCCGCTCGCTCCTGCCCTTCTCGGTCCGAGCGCCCTGAAAGGGGCGCTGGGAGCCGGGCAAGCCGCTTGCAGGCGATCGTTTCAACCGTGGCCCAAACTCGCCTCGCCCCCAGTCTCCCTGGGCTTTACAGGGACTTCAGCTCGAGTCCTGGGGCCCCGGCCTACGTGCCGGGAGGACTGAGGGGTCGCCCAGCGTGCAGAATGAGCCCCAGGATTTTGTGGGGGTGGGGAAGGACCGGAGCTACGGAAGCCTGCGGGCTCGGGGCCAGGGAGGCCGTCTTTGTGAGCGGCTCCGGG